GGATTCGCCCAAAGTGAGAACATCTTCCTCCTTTCCAGAATAGTTTTGGGCAAGACTAAAAAATAGGTCTCCTGGGTAGACATTGATAGAGGTTCCTTTAAGCAGAAATGAAGTAGCCAAAGATTTCTCAATCAGTTAATTCTAGTTATGCACCAGAGCTCTTCGAAGCACTGCTCCTTCCCTGAAAAGACTGGAAGATTGAGGGCCTTCCCCAGATCAGAAGGCAGACAGTGTGGGAGTTTCAGTATTTTCTGATACTTATTATTGGCATCAGCACATAGCAATCACAAGGTTTTAATGACTGTCATCAGATGGCAAGGCTGAGATTTTTAGTGTGTGGACCTCCAGGTTGCGACCAGTTCTGTCATTGTAAGATGTGCACTAGGCACCCAGGAAGAGCAGTGTGTGGGGAGGATCCTCCACTAAACAGCACTCACCCTTCCCTTTTCCAAAGGCATATCTACAATGAGTCTACTTAGTGACCTTTAAGACCACACATGGCCCCCAGTAGGGAAGAGGCCCATTCCTTCTCTTCGGTAATAAGTTGTGTTTGCAGGACAGACCCTTCATCACACAGGGTTTACTGCAACTGGTGGGGTAACTGGACGTGAAACAGGGCTGCACAGAGAGCCTTAATCTGCACCAGGCTAATGAGGAGCCACCGAGCTTGTGCTCTGTGAATACAGTAGAGGATGGGCCCATTAGTTATAGACCAGAGGGTGCCCGGCCAAGACTGCAGTGGTTCATCTAATACCATGCATTGTTTGAATTATCTCTGAATTACTCTGTGCTTCCACAGATTGATCATTAAGACTTTCCTGTCATTCCTGAGCTGCAGTGTTTGCTCTTTTCTAAATCTCCAAGCACAGAGGCTGTGCCTAGGACAGCACAGGGTGCACAGAAAGTCTTCAATAAGTAAGAGTTTATGTAAAGGGAAACAAAAAATTTTGGAGGTATGGCTATGTCTATTACCTTGATGGTTTCATAGGTGTATGCACATGTCCAAACTCATCAGATCACATATGTTAAATATGTGCCATTTATATGTCTATTATACCTCAATAAACCTGTTTTTAAAAATAAAAGTAAATAAGCGAATACACAGAAGCTTATGTGCTCACTTCCTTAATTAGATGGCGAGCTGCTCCAGACAGAACTTCTGGCCTACTTACCCTTGTTTGGAGCTCACAACAGCTGTTCAACATTGATTATTAAATGAATAAGTGACTTGCTTTATAAATTATCTGTGGAACAGAGGCCCTACTCCATACTTAATTGGGAGAGAGCATGGCCCAGTTCCCAGCACCTCCTAGGATGGGAAATGTGGGGGGTCATCAAAGGCACCATGGGAAGAGGTGAGAGGCAGCTTCACTCCCCAAGGCCAGCTGGCGAATGGAGAACATCAACTCATTTTCAAGCCCTTGGGAACAAGTTGTCACCCTGCAAGGCCAGGGGTGAGACTGTGCCCACCCCTTTTACAAAAATAGAGGCTGAACTATCACCAGACTCCTCTGACTGCCAAGAGCTTCCCAGATCTGGAATTAGAGGCCTCCGCCAACCAGTCTCCCACCAGAAGGGAGGCTAAGACTTAGCTCAGGCAGTAACTACTTCCTCAAGCCCTTGTTTAGATGTGGATCCACACTAGCAGCCCTTATTTCAAACCATCACCCACTTCACCCCTTTCCAAAGCCACCAAATAAGTCAAAGGCTGAGGCACTTAGCTCTGCACAGATACTTTAAATTAATCTTAAAACAACTTAAAAGGACTGTTTGTCTAGCCTGTCCAACATCAGCACATTTTCAGTGGCAGCTGGGTCAAGCTTGAGTGGCATTTTCACCACTGACTCAACCTCAAAATACTCCTGGGCTGCCTTCATCCTATCCTGTTTTTTGCTCCCTTGTTATATTTTGAATATTCTCTCCCTCTCTCCCTGCCCCCCCACTCCCATGCACATGCATGAACACACACACGTGCATATGCACACACTCCCCCACACTCCTTTTTAAGGTATGAGGGCATCACACAACAGGCATTCTAAACTTAGGGTTCATGGATAGAATTCAGGGATCATATACTTAGATAGAAAAAAAAAATTGTATCTTTATTTTCACAAACCTCTAACCAAAATATAGCATTCTCTTCCATTATGAACACAGTCAACAAACTGCATTTGTGTTAGCAATGCTAGTGTCTTTGACTCCAACAGAAACACACATATTTTCACATCACATCAGTGTTGTTGCCCTGAAACATCATTTATTTATGTGCATCACTACTTCAGGATTATGGTAGTTATTAGACTTCAGGTAGATCTTATTAGCATGTTAATTAAGAAGCGCATATAGTGCTGCTATTTTTTAAATGTAACAACTGTATTTATTTTTAGCTTTTATTTTAGATTCAGGGGATGCATGTGCAGGTTTATCACCTGGGCATAATCCTATCACCCAGGTACTGGGTGTAGTACCCAATAGTTTTCAACCCTTATCCCCCTCTCTCCTTCCCATCTAGTTGTCCCGTTTCTATGTTGCCATCTTTAAGTCCACGAGTATCCAATGATTACCTCCCACTTATAAGTGAGAACATGTGGTATTCGGTTTTCTGTTCCTACAAATAACCGTGTTTAAATAATTGCGTTCCAAGCCTATGTATATTTTTTGTACATTTTAAAATGTTATTTTGAGAAGAGGTCCATCAGCTTCACCAGATGAAAAGAGTCCATGGCACAGAAAGAGCCTCTGCTGTGGAATAAGCATTAAAAGGTAGGATTTGAGATTTTTCTCTAGGGTCATCAGGGCATGTGCCAGGAGACCTAGGGGCTAAGAGGTGGTGTTCAGTGGTAGCAGGAGGCAGGTTCTGGGAGCAGAGAGACAGCTGGGCTATTGCATAAGAGCTTGGATGGGCTTCGGAGACAGACTAAAACACTGGCCCTGGCTAACCAACAATATGACCTCGGGCCAGCCAGTTCACCTCTCTGAGTTTCCGTTTCTTCAACTAAAATAGCCATTGTCATATACTATATGATTCTCATGAGCATGAATTAAGGGAATATATGTGCAACAGCAATGACTGCCCTGCTACATGGAACTTAGCTGGCCTTAGAAGGGCAGTTTCCTTGACCTGGGAACTTCTGGGGTTATGGTATACTGTTTGCTTGGTTTTTGAGGCAGGCATTATCTGTGCCCTATGCAGGCTTCCCATGTCCTTGAGCTTCAGGGATACCATGGAGTCCCCCAAACTCTAAAACATGGCTAGGCAGACTTAAGTCCCCCCACCTCCCTTTCTGTCCCTTGCTCACTGAAACAGACACCCAGGCCAGACTACAAAGTTGATTCCCTGCCCCAGAGCAAAACTGGCCTCAAGAAAAAAAAAAGAGGTGTTCCAGATCTTTCCAAAACTGGCAACAGAGCCAAAGTACCTGATTCTGGCTTCACAGAACAGCTGGCTCCTGCCCTGGCATCTCATCACTTGGTGAGCAATGCAGGAATTCTGAGGTCTAAGCTGCCTTTTGCAGAGAAAGTCAGGTCAGGGTCAGACCCAGGCTGCAAGGCCACTAGGCAAAGAGGCCCAAGAAAGGTCAGAAGTTCCCAAAACTTGTTTAAATCATATTCAAAAGGTATCTAAAAAGAGATATACATTTTTTAAAAACCTGCATATACTGATTTTCTTTTACTATATATAATAAAAGATTAGAAAACATTATAAAATTATACAGAGAAATTAAAATTAAAATCAACCATAAGCCTGCCTCCAGGAAGCAAAACTATTACCATTCTGGTAAATTTTCCTGCAGTTATATTTAATACATAAATTGGGATCACACTGACACAGTGAGTTTAAGATCTCTATTTCATCACTTAAAAATTCCTGGAGACATTTTTCAATATGAGCTCTTAACAGACAGAAAACCATCATATCACACACTATTTGTAAAATTCACAGGTTACTAAGAGATGTCATGGCATCTCTAAGAACAGTATTGTGCATTTAAATATAAGTTACATCCAGAAAACTGATAGGAGGAGAGCCTATTTTATTCTTCTTAAAGTGTATATAATAGTAAACTCTTCTTTCTTCTCTTAGCTTAAAGAGAATCTAGAGAAGATATCTTTTGTCCTCAGCAAAGAGGCACTATATGCCATTTTCCTTTTTTACATTCTCCTATTTTACTTTCCCTTGATAAGGGGAAAGCTTTGAAAATTCACTGCTGAAAAAAAAAAAATGCTGCCTTACTCAAGAAAGTGCTTAGCAGCTGAAAAGAAATCTCTGGAAACGAGTAGGTAAGGCAAGAAGAGCCCTGGACTTGGAAACAGAAAAAAGCTGGATTCAGATGTCAGTTCTGTCACTGTAGGCCCCAAGATCAAAGAACATCATTTTCCCTGAGTGTCAAGAGAGATGCCACCACTCAACCCGTAAGGATCAAAGGATTATGCAGATTAAATAAGACTGTGTAAAAGTGGTTTGTCAATGGTAAAATACATTGCAGGACCATAATCACCAATTAATATTATAGTGGCCGCTAACAGTACTGTTTTTGTTCCTTAGCTGGCTTGAGCCACTCATTGCAGGCACTCAGGACAGTATCTAACAGTAGGTAAAAGCATGGACCCAGAGCCAAACCACACTTCCCAGCTTGTTGAATTCTTTAACCTCTCAGTTTCTTCACCTGTAAAATGTGATTATGATAGTACACCTACCTCTTAGAACTCTTGAAAGGATCAAAATGAGTAAATTTACACACAGGGCTTAGAACAATACCAGGCACATAATAAATACTATATAAGGGTGAGCTTTAAAAAAAAAAAAAAAAAACAACGAAAAACTTACACTAGCTAAAAAAACAAACCAACAACAACAAAAAACTTACACTAGCTAAAACTAGTAGGCACACTGTTTTAAAGCTTTCCAGAAAAGTACTATCATTAATCAGAAGGTTGGATGTGTAACCTCTGCTCCCTCACCCCCAACCCAGCTCGGGTTTAACCTGCTCCCTTCCTACCTTCTCAGCATCCTGCTCGAAGAGCCGCAGCTGAAAGCACTGGTCCAGCTTGAGCTTGCGCACGTGCCACATCTGGTGCAGGTGCTGCCGCGTAGAATGCAGCTTGTCTAGGAGGCTGGTGATCTTAGGGACCAGGCTCTGGAAGTCGGCACTGCCCGGGATGCAGTTGCGTCCTGAGAAGCCATCGCTACAGCGGATGCACTGCAGCAGCCGCTGCCCCTCTCGGTCCAGCTCCTCCACAGGGGCCTTCAGCACCTTTTTCTTGAGCTGTGTGTGCTCATCAATGAGCCGCCGAGAGCCCTCCACATCCACAGGAAACTCCTTCCGGGCTAGCATCTCCTGGAGGTCCTCGAGGCGTGAGAGCAGGTGCACGGCGCTACTGAAGAACTCCTCCAGGGAGAGCCGCAGTTCAATCCACTCCTCATGGTTGTAGTCCAGGGAACCATCAAACTCCTCCGTCAGCTGGGAGGGGTCCACCAGCTTCGTGAGGCCCTCCACAGATACCATGCTCGTCTGGAAGGGGCAGACACAGACAAGGATACTCAGTGATGTTGGGGGAAGAACAGGACAGAAATAGGAGGAGGAAAAGACAAGGTAATTCCACATAATAATGACCAGAGCCTCGGAAAGGGTGAGTAGAGACCATGGGACTCACTGGCCAGCAGTCACAGATCAGCCAAGATCAGCAGTTTCTACAGACTACTGACTGCTTCAGCAAGCCTCTCCAACTGCCCGCCATGTACCATCCCAGAAGAACTGCCTGTGTCCCCACTCTCCTCATTTTCCCTCCTCCTGACCCCAAATTCACTTCAATAGGGCTTCAAATGCTAGAAGCAGAAGCTGGAAGAAAAACTGACCTAGTTTCTGGGAGACAGTTTCTACAGCTTTAAAACCAAGGCCAGTGGACCCATGATGCTACCCTTATATCATGGGTATGATGATATAAAGGTATCATCATAAGTTGGATTAAGCAATGTGGGCCAATGCTTGGGCTGTAAGGATTTCATAGTCTTGTCTTTTCCAAGGCTCTCACTGCTAGCTCTTCTGTGGTACAGTAAACAGAACTAGGGATGGGCAACAGGCAAGTCTGGGCCCTTGGTTTACTCTGTGAGGCCCCTACAAGCTCCTGGAGAGCAGAGTGGAGAATGTCTCCAGGAAGCAAAGTGTCTCCAGCAAATGATGATGCAGGCAACCACCCCAGTTTATCAGTAAAAATCGTTTCTTTACTATAGGCCTTCAGGCTTCTCTTCTTCCTTATGAAGAATGAGAGGCTAGCAAATTAATATCTGGGTTTGGGTCCCAGCCATATGCTTACTAACTGTGTGACCCAGGGCAAGCTATTAAGGTCTCAGAGCCTCAGTCTCCTCCTCTGTATAATGAAGATAATAATTCCTTTCTCATGGGGCTTGCTGGGATTAAATGTATCAATGTGTGTAAAGCACATAGGGTGCACAGCATGGAGCACATGCTCAATCTCTGTTGGTGCTCACTGTGATGATCTGAAGGCTGCATCATTACTCAAAACCTGAAAAGCAATTTATCTCTCTACGTCTTGCTACTTACTCTCTGAGCATCCCCTCTTTGTCCCTTCTCCTTCCACCTCTCTCCTAAGAGGAAGGAAAGAGTTGACCTAAGCAAGAGGGCTGGTCTGGAACAATAGTTGTCAAACTTGTCTGGTCATTAGAATCCTTTGGGGAGCATGCAAAAACACCAATGCTCAATACCCCATCCCTAGAAATTTTGATTTAATTGGCTACGTGGGAGCTTGGACATGGGTAGATTTAAAAGTCCTTCAGGTGATTCTAATGTGCAGCTAGAGTTGCAAACTCCTGCTAATCTCCATCCTTGCAACTCAAAGCATAGCTCTCAAACCAACAGTATTGGCATCACATAGGAGCTTGTTAGAAATGCAGAATCTTAGGCCTTACCCCAGACCTACTGAGACAGAATCTGCATTTACAAAATCCCCAGGACATTTATGTGCATTAAACTTTGAGAAACCCTATTCTAAAATACTTTCTCCTTCAAATATGGCTCAAAGTTTACCACTTCTGGGAAGTCCTCCATGATTATACTTACCAATTACGTATAAGTTCTTGAACAAGCTTATACTCTCATCTCTGTATCACTTGTCACCCCAGTCTGCACTTAGTAGTAAACTCACTGTTCTTAAATACTGCCTTATAAATATTCCTTTGATTGGAAGGCCCCCAGCTATCTCTCCTATACCTCTTATTTAGGAGGCAGAGACAAGCTTGCTCAGCTTAGAGTGAAGGAGGTGCAGAGAGATGGGACATGCAGGCCAGAAATGCTGAAGCAGAAGTATCAAGACTTACTGAAAAGATTCTTTTCAGTCTCTTCAGCTCACACATTTACAGGCTTGTTGTCACCACCTCTGTATAAAAAAGCCAATATATAAAAAGCATTTTCCTACAGGACTCCTAGTGTTCTGGAGGGGTGCTGGGAGACTATCATAGGTCACTGTTTTTATACCAAGCCAAATTTCTTGTATTATTTACACAGAGTGAGAATTGTCTGCATCAAGTGTTAGGTCATTGTGCTCAAATCACAGCCTATTTGACACCACACACAGGCGCTCCTGGCCCCCAGGGTACAAAAGTCTGGAATGGGAAGCTGCTAAAGATTAAAAGCAGCTCTGCATTTTCAACACACACACATTTAAAAGTTCATCCCCTTGCAGATGAGGGCTGGAATTCTGAGCAAGGGAATAGTTCAAATTTGGCTGCAACAAAGATGTTTAAATCATTGATTTAATCTGATGTATTGTCATTAAAAATTCTCAGGGGAAACATGGACCCTCTAGAAAATTTAGTTTAAAAACAAATGTTTTCTTTGATTATAAAAGTAATATGTCATCTTTGAAAAAAATAAAAATATATGAAGCAAATAAAAACCACCCATTATCCAGTCACCTAGAATAAACCAGTCACCTGGAATGAACCATCAGTAACTTCTTCACATGTCTGTCTTCTTCTCCAGGCATACACTTTAAAAACAAATCTCAGATTATACTCCCCATATTAACACCTGCATTTTACTGAAAAATAAAAAATTTTAATACTATTTTTCTAAATATGGATTTTAATGGCTTCATAGTATTTGTGGAGTTTTTTTTAAATTGTACTTTAGGTTCTGGGGTACATGTGCGGTTCATGCAGGGTTGTTGCACAGGTGTATATATAACCAGATGGTTTGCTGTCTCCATTCCCCCTTCATCTATATCCAGCATTTCTCCCCACATTATCCCTCCCCACCCCCTGCTGTCCCTCCCCACAACTGACCCCAGTGTGTGATGCTTTTCTCCCTTAGTCCATGTGTTCTCATTGTTCAACACCCGCCTATGAGTGAGAACATGCGGTGTTTGGTTTTCTGTTCTTGTGACAGTTTGCTGGAAATGATGGTTTCCAGATTCATCCAACTCCCTACAAAGGACACGAACTCATCGTTTTTTATGGTTTTGTAGTATCCCATGATGTATATCTCCCACGTTTTCTTTGTCCAGGCTATCAGTGATGGGCATTTGGATTGGTTTCAGGTCTTTGCTATTGTACACAGTGCCGCAATGAACATAGGTGTGCAAGTGTCTTTATAATAGAACAATTTATAATCCTTTAGTATATACCCAGTAATGGGATTGCTGGGTCAAGTGGAATTTCTATTTCTAGGTCCTTGAGGGATCACCACACTGTCTTCCACAATGGTTGAACTAATTTACACTCCCACCAACAGTGTAAGAGTGTTTCTGTTTCTCCACATCTTCTCCAGCATCTGTTGTCTCCAGATTTTTTAATGACTGCCATTCTAACTGGCATGAGATGATACTTCCATGTGGTTTTGATTTGCATTTCTCTAATGACCAGTAATGATGTGCATTTTTCCGTATGTTTTTTGGCCTCATATATGTCTTCTTTTGAGAAGTGTCTGTTCATACCCTTTGCCCACTTTTGAATGGGTTTGGTTTTTTTAGACAGAGTTTCACTCTGTTGCCCAGGCTGTAGAACAGTGTGCAATCTCAGCTCACTGCCTCTCAGGTTCAAGCGATTCTCCTGCCTTAGCCTCTGGAGTAGCTGGGATTACAGGCGTGGCTGTAATTAACCATGCCCGGCTAATTTTTGTATTTTTAGTAGAAATAGGGTTTCACCATGTCGGCCAGGCTGGTCTCAAACTCTTGACCTCAAGTAATCCACCCACCTAGGCTTCCCAAAGTGCTGAGATTACTGGCATGAATCACCATGCCCAGCCAGTATTTGTGTATTAATGTCACCAAAATTAATAGCTCATAAGGATAAAACCTATGTGTATGTACATGTACTATATATGTATACATATTTATGCACATGTGTACATATACTATTGTATAGGAACATATGAGCTGTGATGAACATTCTTGTAAACATTTTTTGTTTGCAATTTTACTTGGCTTTTTACCTTTTGTTTGTAGAAATTTTGTATTAAGACTATTTTTTTTAAATTAGGCTGGGCACAGTGGCTCACGCCTGTAATCCCAGCACTTTGGGAGGCTGAGGTAGATGGATCGCCCAAGGTAAAGAGTTTAAGACCAGCCTGGCCAACATATTGAAACCCCATCTCTATTAAAAATACAAAAATTAGTGCGATATGGTGGCAGGTATCTGTAATCTGAGCTACTTGGGAGGCTAAAGCAGAAGAATTACTTTAACCTGGGAAGCAGAGGTTGCAATGAACCAAGATCATGCCACTGAACTCCATCCTGGGTAACAGTGAGACTCCATCTCAAAAAAAAAAAAAAAAGAATATTTTCCTAAATTAGTTACTAGGTATAGAAATACAGCTAAATAGAAGAATAGAAGAAATAAGTTCTAGTATTCAATAGCGAGGTAGAGAAATTACAGTTAACAATAATTTATGGTACATTTCAAAATAGCTAGAAGAGAAGAACTATAATGTTTCTAGCACAAAGAAATGATAAATGTTTTAGGTGATAGGCATCTCTTTTACTCTGATTTGATCATTACACGTTGGATACAGGCATCAAAATGTCACATGTACCCCAAAATATGTACAACTATGATACAGCAATAAAAAAAGAATTGCTAGATCAATGGACATAAACTCTTCCTAAGATATTTGATACAAATTGCAAAGTTGCCTCCAGAAATAAGTTGTCCCAACTTACACAACCATCAACGGTAAATAAGACTGTCTAATGAAGGTGTACATTTGGGACAATCTTGTGAGCTTCTTGTTCCTCCCCATACTCTACATGATAAAGCTGTGGTGGCCAAGGAATCCTGAAATCTCAGCCCCTGATGCATCACATACTGTATGGTAGATGGAGAAGGGGAAGTGAGAAATGTGTGGATGGCAGAAGGGGAAGAGAAAGAAGATGCTAAGAGAGAGAAGTCTGGCTCACCTCAAAGATGAATTTGGAGCTGCCAAAGTTGGTCTTCTGTTTCTGCCAGAAGTTGTCAGGTTTGATGATGAGGGCCACATGGATCTCAGCTGGAAAGGCTTCCTGAAGCGTTTTGAGGAGGGGCTTGATGAGGTCCCACTTGGAGCCCCGCATGTCGATAATGACAGTGAAGCCACGTTTGCACACGTCCTCACTGTGGGGAGGTCAGAGGTCGGTATGGTTATTCTGTGTAGCCAAGACTTTGGAGTACACAATCAAAATGCACCCGGAAACCTGCACTCCCATTGATCAGAATCAGTCTTTCAACTTCACGCCAGGTCTCTTGGCCACCTTCACACCCAACTCAAACTGTACTGCCTCAGAAAACCTTCCTACATTTGACCAACAGTCCTGGCATTCTGCCTTCTCCCAGCACTTGGAAAATAACTTGTCCTTCCTTTTACAGGTTGAGTATCCCTAATCCGAAAATCCAAAATTTGAAATGCTCCAAAACCTGAAACTTCCAGAATGTCAACATGATGCTCAAAGGAAATGCTTATTGTAGCATTTCAGAGTTTGAATTTTTGGATTAGGGACACTTACCTGGCAAGTAGAATGCAAATATTTAAAAAAAAAAAAATCCAAAGTCCAAAACACTTCTGGTCCCAAACATTTTGGGCAAGAGCTACTCAACCTGCAGTCAACTATACTTGTTGGGATGTTTACAATTTGGGTATTCACAATTATATTTGATTTTTTACTTTACCTTTTGTCTCCTTTTCTTATCCCTAAAATGAATCATGTTTTCCCCATTGAAATTCAAGTTTTCTAAAGACAAAGACCGTGTAGCCTCTTAAACCTGAGATGGAAAGTCCTTGACAGAGTGTTGTTCTTCCCTGTGCCCACATCAATGACAGACACTGGTACATTTTACCACTGAACCCAAACTGGACCAAAGAATATGTTTTTAAAAAGGGTTCTAGGTTGATTCTGCCAGTTGATTAGAGATGGCACACAAAGTATTAATAACATATATTTACCACCATTGTATTTAAGATATATTACTTGCATTTTTGTTATTTCTTTTTACTTTTTTTTTTTTGAAAGAGTCAGGGTCTCCCTATGTGCACAGGCTGGAGTGCAGTGGCTATTCCCAGGCATCATCACAGTGCACTATAGTCTCAAAACTCCTGGCTTCAAACGATCCTCCCGCCTCAGCCTTCCAGGTAACTGGGATTACTGGCTTGTACCACCATGCCCAGCTTTGTGGTTTAAAAGGTACATCAACTTAAAAAATCAGGTTGCTGAGTCATGCTGATCACTCAGAGACAGCTAAGAGTGGAACTGATTGAAACGGAAGATGCAGGCCAGTTTTCTCATGTATTTCCACTGTAAGAGGCACAGTGTGAAATGCATATTTCAAGATTTTAAAGGAGGTTGGGGGAGGAGTAACTTTTGAAATCAAGGCAAGTTGAAGGGACAGTGACCATCTTGAAAACCAAGACATAGGCAGGCTAAATAAATCAAGATGTTTCTGTGTAACTTAGTAGCAAAGTTTATTTAAATACTTGAACTTTGACTGTAACTCCTGAAAATAGGAAGGAAAAAAATGAAGGTCAGGATAGTTATATCTCAGTTTGGAAGAAAGTCTATGATTGGGTAGTTAGGGGTCTTTTCTTCTCTCTTTTTTAAGCCAATCCGTTTATTTTATAATTCAAAATAGACATTGGCTAATCCACATTTATAAATACCAGCATAGTATTTCCTTAGGGTCTTCCACTTAAAATTTCCCGTTTCACAGACTGCACTTGTTTAAACCACTATGTATGCTACATGACCCTCATATGTGCCTACCACATATCAGTTAGTTACAGCTGCTGGCAGTAAGGCCACAGTTGAAGGATTCAGGTCACAAAAAGAAATAAAAACCTTTTTGGGGGCTTTATTGTCAAATTTCAACCAGTGATGAGAATGTTGCAGCCTCATGAAGAGACTGCAGCTCCTCACGGTGTGTGTGCCTCAAGCAAAGGGCAGCTTACTCAGGCTTCCCTGGTACACAGAAAATTCCTCAGGAGACAGAACTCTCTCTAGCATGAGAGAAAGGTTGAGTATTCTCCCCAGATCCTGCATCTGAAAGGAACAGAGTTGCTTCTTCTTCTCTGACACTTATTGAAATGAGTGGCCAAAGTTTTCCATAAATAATTTTTCTACCCTCTTGTCTGAAAGCAATGTGACTTTTTCCCTAAATTACAGGATTTCTTTCCCATTATAAGAGAAATACCCTATAATTACAGAAAAGTTAAAGTAGTCAAAGATCCACACAAGAGATATTAACGGTAGGATTTTATAACATGTAGGCCTATTTCCTTTCCACCTTCTCTGTGCATATAGTTTTCATACCATATACTGTTCTACTTTTCGCTCTACAAAACATACAGTTTTTTCTCGTGCCTAAAATTTCTTCCAACCTGTTGGTTGCATTTAGTGATAGTCCATCTTATGCCTATACTATAACTTATTTAGTCATTCTCATGATTGCTTTACAAAAAGGTAGGTCAACAGTACCCCCCTTACTAACCAGCACTGCTCACTGAATTTTTTAAATTGTTGCCTGTTTTATTTAAAAGTATGTTGTATTATATTTAAATTTGCATTTCTTTGATTACTAGTTATTGCTTTTTGGCCCACAAATATTTCTTCTGTGAATTACCTGATCAGCTCTTGTATCCATCTTTCTATCAGGAATTAGTGGCTATTGGGATTTAGAGGTCTTCTCACTGAGCATCATTTAGTTTAGCTTGACTTACATTAGTTGCATGCCCACCTATGTCAGGTTCGGCAATGTTAACTATGGTTCTTGACTTTCCTTAGAGATGATGGTCTTCCTTATTTCCCTGCTCCTCAAATTCCATCTCTGTGGCCATAATTATGATGACCTGAGAATTCTTTGTCCCTAACAACAAATATTCCGTGTTGCTACCAAGAGCTAGAGGTTGATAGTCCCGGCATCTAAAGGTGGTGGTCAATAGCAGGTTATGCCCTCTTAACTAATCATTTCTGACAACTAAAAGTAGAAACTGGGTACTAATATTCTCTAGGAGGTTCTCAATAATTCAGGAAATGGAAAAGGAGGCCCAGGAGGGGAGTGCTGTGACTTAATTTAATAGGCATCTTTCTGTGAAAAAGGCTAATCTTCCAAGGTGCTTTGTGTGTGCTTTGGTTTTAAATAGGGGGCATAGCTGGGAAAGGAGAAACAACTATTTTACTATGTGCTCATTCTATGCCGGGGCTATCATTTCATTAGATCCTAACAATAACTTCATAAACTAAGTATGGTTATCCCCATGTGAGAGAAGATGAAATTGAGGCATAAAATTTGCCTAAGGTCACATAACTAGTAAGTGGCTAAGCAAAAATTCAAAACCAGGACTGCTGATTTGAAAACCCAAGCTCAGGCTGAGTGTGTTGGCTCACATGTATAAATCCCAGCACTTTGGGAGGCTCAGGCAGGCAGATCACTTGAGGTCAGGAGTTCAAGACTAGCCTGGCCAGTGGGGTGAAACCACATCTCTATTCAAAAATACAAAAAAAGAAAAAAAAGAAAAGAAAACCCAAGCTCAGGTCACTATATCATACTATACCCCACCACACTGACACTATGTATGGATGTTTTTGTTTGGGGACAGGAGTTGGGGGTCACAGATGAGGGGATTGAGTTAGTGGACTCAGAGGAGATGGGGTAAATTAGGGCAAGGAGTCTAAGTGAATGACCTCCATTCTGCAGTCTATGTGAAATCACAGAGAAGCAAAACAGCATGGCATATTGTGAAAATTCAAGCGATTAGCTCTGGTTCAGGTCTTTGAATGCAAGAAAGTGCAGCTCTGAGTGCTTTGGAGAGCCCCATTCTGGGCTCTGTCCCTCCTTTTGCCCACATACCACCCAAGGAGCCAAGATGACTCACCCACATAGAGTCTGTGCTGCACCTCCCTCTTCCCCTTCTAGGCCAAGCTCCTAGTATCTGAAACCCTAACACTCTCTGCCCAAAAGGCCCTTAGACTACCTCCTGGGCTCATGGGTCTCTCTTTCCAGGGTCCAATTCCCAAGGGCAAGTAACACCACCATTATGTGTACCCCTAGGCCTCGGGGGTGACAAAGGCCTGCTACTTGCAAGGATGTGGTTAGAATATAAATGTGTGAGCTGGGGTGTTCACTTGCATGCATGAGGCTCCCTGCCATACAGAGCTGAGCTGGAGAGTGGAGAGAGAAGGCAGGCAGAGCATGAGTCGGGGGCTGGTCTACTGTGCTGCCACATTTGGGCCTGGGAGCTCAAAGGAGTCCAACAAATCTAAATTTAAATTTGGCCTCATAGGTTGCTGTGAAGATATATTTGTCAAGGTAGAAGGACAGAACATGTTTTATTTAACAGTTTGTTAGCTTGCTACATTAATTTTAAATATTCAGACAAAGGGTATGTGAGCTTCCATTTGTACTCTTGCCCTAGGCACCACAATGTTAGAATCAGGCCTTGCAAGAGAGGAGACTGGAGTGGATACAGGCTTCAAATCAGAATGCTCCTCATACGTGAAGGCAGGAGCACTGGATTTGTCCTAAAGGCAGTGAGGAATTACTGAAGGGTATGATTCAGAAAAGGAACATAATCAGGTGATCTGGAGAGATTGCCCACCAGCTGTGCAGAAGGAGAGTAAATTGGGGTCAGCCCAAAGGAGTGTAGCAGTAGAAGAAGGGTCCTTGCTAAAATGACTCTTCAAGGAAGTCTTCCACGGACCATCCTAGTTAAACCTGTCACTGTCACCTGGCACTCCTAACTCCCCTTCTCTTTTTCTCCTTAGCACTTATTACCATATGGATAATACATTTTACTTATTTGCCTACCATCTTCTCTCACTGGAAAGTAACCTCAGAAGGGCAGGAAGTTTTTATTCATTTCACTGTTGAATGTTCAGTGCTTGGTGCACATGAGGCAGGGGAGGCAGCAGTTAAGGGTATGAAAAACAGAACCAGCTTCCTAAGCCTGAATCCTGGCCTCATCATTTACTTATTGTGGAAGCCCTCTGTGCCTCAGTTTTCACAAGGCAAAATGTGAATAATAATTACAGGGTTGTCTTAAAGGTTAATAGACATAAATCACTTAGGATGGTGCCAGACACAGACTGTTACATGTAAGTCTAAGCTGCCATAGGAGATGTTACTGG